AAAAAAAAAAAAAAAAAAAAAAAAAAAAAAAAAAAAAAAAAAAAAAATAGAGGCAGCGTTATCTCTATAGAAAGATATATTTTTTTATGTGAACTGAAATTATGATGGAATATTGACATTAATGGCAAGTTGAGAGGATGCATGCGTGTGCTGGGGCAATGGAATGAGTGAATGTTTTAATGATGAATGTATTGACACATAAAAAAAGAACTCAAAAAAAATGTTATAGGCGCCTCTACCTGAGCTTGCTCTTCAGAGAGCTGACTTCCCGGTTCATCGTGTCTGCCGATTCAGTGGCATCATCCACCTCCCTCTGCAGCTTTCTACGTTGGGCGTTGGATCGCGTCACCTCCTCCTCTGCCTCCTCTAGCTGACGCTTCAGCTGACGCATTCGGCTGTTAGTCTTCTCCGCCTGCAGAGACGGGGTTCATTTCGTGAGGAGAGCACCAATAGAGGAACAAGTGCCAAAGACATTACAAGCACATCAGCAAGGATTCGAGTCAGGAACAAACTACGCAACAGGACTCCTCTGTCCTCCCTTCAACAATCTAAAAAGGGAGATTAGCGATAAGTTACCTGGTCTTTGTATTGGTCTGTGTTGCGCCTCTCGTCTTCGACCTGTAGCAACACCTCTTTCAGCTTCTTCTCTGTGCGCCTGGTCAACCTGGAGGCCTGCTGGCGCTCCCTGAATTGAGTAGGAAAAGCAGTGAGGACGCAGTACAAAGCTTTTTTTGATTAATTCACTATATATCAGTCTGTACTAAATCACGAGTACGCGGACACAATTACTGAAACTTTTAGGACCCAGGTATTTTTTTGTAACACCAAAAAACAACTGACAACTGTTGTGGTCAGTAGAGAAACCAGTCAAAATAAAAATGGGATGGTATTGCAAAGTGTCCATTCCACTGGCACTCACTTTGACTCTATGTCGAGCTGTTCCTCCAGCATAGCGATCTTGGCCTCCAGGGAGGTGATGGAGGATTTATACTTGGACTTGATGGCTCCCTCGAGCTCCTGCAGCTTCAGTTTCAGCTCCTTAGTCTGGCGATCCAGCTGGGAGCGAGCCCCCTCCAGCCGCAGGGAGCTGCTGCGTTCTTCGGCCAGCTCCGTGGTCAGCTGCTCGGTCTAAAGTCAGAAACATGCAAAGACATCAGTCACCCTGGGTATTCCTTTAAAAATCGCTAACCACGGTGTTTCTTTGCCGCAACTCTCCAAGTCCAGCTGACAATAACTTCAGACATTTGCAAAGGATTTAATCCCGATATAAAAAAATGTTTATGTTCAGGCGTGGTGTCATTACTGATGCTAGAAATAAAAAATAAAAAAGTAGGTATTTAGGAGCAGTGGGCTGCTGTGAAGCGCCAGAGGAGCAAATTGAGGATTGATCTGCCAACAAGCTCTACCCCCCTCCGAGTGTAAAGACATTCCTTCCTTTAACACTGAACACTAAATGTTTTCTCCTACTCGCAAACAAAATGAACATATCTGCGATGCTGCGTGTCTGTACCTGCAGTGTGCTTCTCTTCATACGATCGTTGACCATCTCGGTGTTGAGCTGCTCTTCCTCCAGCTCCTCCTCCAGCTGGGTGATACGAGTCTCCAGCCTCCTCTTCTCATCTGCCAGCAGCAAACTGGAAACGAGTGAGGAAGAGGAGCGACAGTAAATAGACAAATTTCCTTTGTTGCTGTGAAATTTGGATGCACATGCATCTATATTCTTCGGTGCATTTTATATGTTTTTATTGAAATACTATGTTTTGGTTCATACTTCTTGGCGTTGGTGCTGCTAATCTCTTCCTGGAGCTCATCTCTCTCGCTCTGAACCTGTCTCTTCACTCTCTCGGCAGTAGCCAGCTCCTGCAGGAAGCAGAAAACACAAATGTATACTTCAAAGCTTGATACTAAACAGTTGGAACAGTTACCTGGAAGCAATTTGAGCTAGTTAGACTCTATACAGTGGACAGCAAAAAACAAGTTAAAACAATCACATTCCACTGTACTGAATAAAGCCAGCGTTCCAATGCCCACATTTATTTACTCAAGTGCCGATCAACCCGGTCACGGCTTTTTTCTGTCCTGGCCCCACAGTGGTGGAATGAACTCCCCACTGACTTCAGGACAGCAGAGTCGCTGCCCTACTTTCGGCGCAGGCTGAAAACTCACCTCTTCAAGAAGTACTACCCAGAGCCTTCCACCTAGCACTTATTGTATTCGTAGTAGTTTGTTTTTGCACCGATGCTCTGGTTTATGCTCTTAGACGCATGTTTAAAAAAAAGGAGATGCACTTATGACTTCTGGTGACTAGTAGTTCTCTTGAATACACTTATTGTAAGTCGCTTTGGATAAAAGCGTCCAACTGTAATGTAAAGTGTCTTTTGTTATTCTATTTAATCCAAAAAGTGTTCCCCCTCAGGAGGCAATAAAAACAACCTTGAATCTTGAAGCCAGTGCACTAACAAAGTTCTCATATGCTAATATTAAATGATGTCCGTTTATCCAGGTGTCCAATTATTACTTTCATACCTCCTGGAAGTGCAGGGCGTCTGTCTCCATGGCCTTGAGCTTCCTCTCTGTCTCCTTGGCTCCGTTGACAGCTTCGTCTCTGGACAAACGCAGCTCTTCCAGCTCTCTCATTTGCTCTTTCATTAGAACCTAGGGAGTAGATATGCGGTTAGACACAAAGGCTCAAATTTGTTTTGTTTTCATTTGTCTTTATGTCCGTTTATGTTAATTTCTCAGTTAAACTAGCGATTCAATTATGAGTTATGAGCAAAGCCAATCTCATTTTGGCAATTTGTTTGCTCATGTGTGAGCACATTGGAGGCCTATATCACCTGGAGTTTTTTCAGTTGTTTTAGAGCCTCATCACGGCCCTTGTTGGCAGCATCGATCTGGAGCTCGAGCTCTCCCAGGTCCAGCTCCAGTTTCTTCTTGGATGAGAGGGCCTGAGAACGCTGCTTGCGTTCATCTTCCAGCTCCACCTCCATCTCACGCACCTGAAGGACAGGAAAAATCATTTTGATTTTCAATTTAGTCAGTAAAACTAACATTTTCTTATGCAGAAATGTAATACAACCGTGTAGAGCTTTGTGGGAAAAAGTCAGAGTATTGTTTCGTACCTGTTTAACCAGCTGTTTCCTCCTCTCCTCTCCCTGCTCGTCTCTGGCCTGCAGGTCTCGGTCAAACTGGGCCTTCATGGCCTGCATGTTGACCTCCAGACGCAGTTTGGCATCCTCCGTGGCCTGCAGCTCGTCCTCCAGCTCCTCCAGCTGAACTCTCATCTCTTCCATCTGCTGGTCCATGGCACGCTTTGACCTCTCCAGCTCGTGAACCTGCAGACGAGGTTGCATTGTTACACAATCAGCGTTTAGTGAAGAGGGTCAATGCTGCCAATGATATGACCTCTTTAGCGAAAAATTAATTCCAGCTCTCCGTGCACCAAAAGTTACAAGTAGCGTTTTTTTCCCCTTACACTCTTGCCAACATCATCCTTTGAGGAGACCAAGTCTTCCATCTCAGCTTTGAGCAGCTTATTGGTGCGGTCCAGCTCGTCTTTAAGGTCCGACATGGTCTCCAACTCGCGGGCCAGTGTCAGTGCTCGCGTTTCCTTCTCCCTGGCCTCAGCCTCGGCCTTGTCACGCTCCTCTGCATACTGAGTAGAAATTGTTTTCTCTTCGGCCAGCATCTAGGAAAGAGACCAGGAGAGGTAGTTACAGCACACTAAAAACATTTTTTTTTTTTAAACTAAACACTCTTGAATAAAGGTGACAGTTTGTGGTGATGTGAACAGTACATTCAAAACTATTTGAGGATAATGATCCCACGTTTTCTATATAATCTGATGACACTTATTGCGGTTGTACAATTATATCCGTTGCTTGAGTTTTGCTTTTATCTGCAAAGTTTTATGCAGTCGTCTTAAACAGCTCAACCTAACCCTTTCAACTGTCAAAAGAAAAATATGCAGCCTGTTGCTGAATTATTACTTGTTTTTGCTCTGTGCACAAAATACACTGTTGACATGATACCTGGTCAAACTTCCTCTGCTTCTTCTCCAGGCTGGAGACGATCTGCCTCAGGTGGTCCTGGTCCACTAAGAGGTCATCCAGCTCCTGCTGTAAACGGGTTTTTGTCTTGTCCAGTTTGTCGTAAGCTGCCGTCTTCTCCTCCAGCTGCTGCATTACGCCTTCCAACTCCCTCTGTGATCGCTTGCGGCCCTCCTCTGCCCCCTCCAGGGACAAGGTCTCATTTTCCAGCTTCTTCTTCAAGTCTGCCAGCTGAAGACGTGAAAGAAAGGAGAGGGCAGGGCATTAGAAGGACAATAAGAAAAATATGTGAAAGTTCAGAGACACTGGACTCCTGAATCAAGGCTACGGAAGGGAGGATGTCCTTCTCCATCACTGATTTGAGGCCAGTCTGAAATCAACTCTCTTGAACGATAAAGATCTGAGAACACAGTACAATTTCAAAAACTGCTGTTGAGTGCGATGTGTTTAAGTGCACAGATAGAGCGTGACACCGTGCACCGACCTGGGTCTGCAGAGCGGTGATCTGTTTCTCTACGACCTTCTTGCCCTCTTCCTCTTCCTCCAGCATCTCACGCAGGTTGTTCTGTTCGTCCTCCAGCTGCCTCAGGTGGGTGGAGAGGGCGAGCTTCTGACGAGTCTCCTCTTGGAGCAACTCCTGGAAGCAAGAGAAGAAAAAAGGCAAAACATCAGAAAAAAAAAACATGCTAAAAACCCCTTTAATAAAGTCAAGTTTTGTTTCTAGTTTTTTGCATGCATTTGTTCACATCGTGGTCAATTTGCACTATTAAAAGTCATGCTGAATTAGCTCTCGACAGTTCCTGTTTGAAGAGTCATCATGAACATACAGAAACTATCACTAGATTACACTAGAACAGTGAAGACATAAGATCAAGGAGCATCTTTTTTCTAGAATTTCTTAGTAGATTTACGGACATTGGGGATATAAATATCCTTGGTAAAAGGGAGTCACACTGAATCTTAAAACGTTTGATGAGTGGGTGATGCAAACATGTTGCTAAGATGTGTGGCAGATACTGTGTTGCTTGTACGCAAATACTGCATGTCCATATACAGAAAACACATGGGGTAAATAGATACTGTAAGAGATTAGAGCTGCAAAAAGATCGTTTTCTCCAATCATGGCTTGGTCGATAAAAACAGTTCAAAACCCAAACATTGTATTTACAATGTTATGAAATAGAGAAAAGCAGCAAATCCTCACAGTGGACAAGCTTGAACAGGAAAATACTTAAATTTTTGCTTAAAAAAATGAAGATTTATTAAAATTGCTTAATCGACTTCTTGTTTCAGACAAGAGTGCATTTGACACAATAAACATGCATTTGTACCTGTGTATCCTGCAGCTGAGACACGGTAGAAGAAAGGTCTTTGCTGGATTTGATGTTCTTGTTGTCTGCTTCACTCAGGAGGCTGTTGACATTGTCTACCTCCAACTAGACGCCAGAAGGAAAGAAAATTAATAATGGACACAACATAATTAGCCACTCAACCCATACCAACAGAAATATCATCACAAACTATCCTCCTTTCTGCCACCTACTCTTCCTTTACTTGCCATTCACTCAGTTCTCCGCCCTTGAAATACTGTACCTGCATCTTGCCCATCTTCTCGGCCACCTCCTGCCTGTGTCGTTCACTTTCGCTGAATTTGATCTGCAGTTCTTGGACCTGGGCTTCGGCCTTCTTGCGACGTTGTTCAGAGTCTCCTTTGCCTTGTGTCAGAGTCTGCATCTCGATCTGCAACTCATTCCACTCGCTCTCCAGAGCATGCTTGGCTTTGTCCACAGACACCTTGTTCTGCAGGAGCAGCACACATGAAGCATGCAATTGTTGTTATTCATATGTTCGTTAAGCATCCTCTATTGACCACCCAGTTCATTCTTGCACCTGTTCTTCTGATTCCATCCCTACCAAACTGTTCAAATCTGTCTTTCATTGCTTTATAAAGAACATTGAAAATGCTATTAAAGGCTCTGTGCAGAGTGGTCATTTATAATCTTCCTTTTCTGAACAAAATACTGTTAAATAAAAAATTGGAGATATAATGTGGCTCTGAAACCAGATTGGTGTGTGTGTATATCTCCAACAGCAAAACAGCTCTAAGAGTATTCAATGGCCTTAAGATAAACTGACTCGCAGAGAACTTTGATTCTAGTATTGCTTGATCTCACTGCAGTCTTTAAAATGTTAGGTTTATGTCTATGCAGTATTTTAACATTCTGCCTTTAAATGTAGAGTACTTTGAGTTTACCTGTAATGAACCGCGCTACATAAATAAGATTGCAATTACCCTCTTGGCCTGTTCCAGCTGTTCATTGAGCTCTTCAAATGCCTGGTTGTGTTTTTGTCTCATGTCAGCCATCTGCTGCTCGTGGATCTTGGCCTCTTCGTCCAGATTCTTCTTCAGATGGGTGACCTCCACCTCCCGCTTGGACCTGCAGAGACAGAATGAGGAAGTGAATTAGAAACAATGAGAAGTGAGGAGAGAACAGAAGCGAAACAAATAAAATGTATAAATCTTTGCGCACTCATGTTGCCCTCAGAGTCTTCCACATGAAAACTTCGATCTGTCCATCTAACACTTTTAAAACACACTTCTGGCAGTAAGTCTACGTAGTTTTGACCGTTACCTCAGCTCCTGCTGTGCTGCGGTGGAGTCCAAAGTGTCCTCCAGTTCAGTCTTGAGGGCCTCCAGCTCCTCTCCCAGGTCCCTGCGTTGTTTCTCAGCCTTGGCCCGCGCCTGCCTCTCCAGCTCCAGATCCTCCTGCAGCTCTGAGATCTGAGCCTCCAGCTCCCTAATCTTCTTCTGGGCCATGTTCTTGGCTGCAGCCTCCTCCTCGATCCTGAAGGTGAGATAGAGAGAAGGGATGAGATTGACAAACAGGTACTCCATGTGTTAGTTCTCACTTCCAAGAACATTCACTGCACTAAAGCTTTAAGTTAATAAAAAAAAAAAGAAAAAAAAAAAATTTATTTTTCTTGAACCTGGACAGTGCAGCGAGGAGTTCCTCCTCCTTCTTAGCCAGCTGAGCTCGGAGTTCATCAATCTGAGCCTGCAAGTCTCCCACATGGTCATTGAGCTCACTAGAGTCTCCTTCAAGTTTACGACGGTTCTTCTCCAACTCCTGACGCACCTTTTCCTCTTTTCTTAGACGATCTGTGTGCGAGAAGACAGAAACACAAATTTGACGTTTACTCTCGCGACACCCAAACAATTGAGAGAAAAAATATATATATTTAATAGAAAATACACAGTAGCGACATGTAAATGAAGTAGACCGCCTCTGCTTTTTTTGGGAAATCAACCTCTGCAATGGGCTACATTAAGAGACCTCAATTGTGTTCACATATCCCTCATATTGTTTGGGCGAAGTGCTTTTTCCTCTCCATGGCTTCATAAAATGGGAGTGTGATGTTATATATTTTTTTTAAACAAATGAAATAAAAATGAATTTCAATCAATGCAAATAATTAAGAATCTTATATGAAACAACGGATACTTGCCCTCCAAATCTGTGATCATGGCTTCATGTTTATTCTTGAGTTTCTGCAGGCTCTTGGACTTCTCTTCCTCCTCAGTCAGGTTGGTGGTGAACTCAGAGATCCTCTCCTCCATCTGTTTCTTCTCCTGAGGTTATATATAAAAAAAAAAAAAAGAAAAAAAAAAAAAAAAAAAAGAGAATAAAGAAATGACTCATTGCCCCAGGTGTAATGGTTGTGTTTATTTAAGCAGCATTTGTCTGGTGAATGCTGAGTGTGTGGGCTACGTTAACACGTTGTACGAAACCTTGATGAGCTTGTTGTTCTGGTCGTCCAGCACCATGACATCCTCATCTAGCTTCTTCAGCTTGGCGTCCGTGGTGAGCTTCTCCATCTGGAGTTTCTGTCTGGCTGCTTCCTCCTCATCCAGCTGCTGCTCCAGGTCCTGGATGAACAAACAATTTGCAATATTTAAGCATTTTTCAGTCCCCCCGCCTCCCATCACATCTCACATTGTGTATCCCGCAGGACTCAACTGACCGTGATGTTCTGCTGCATCTTTTTTCTCTCGGTGTGCAGCTGGGTGGCCCTCTCTTCTTCCTCCTCCAGGCGAGACTCCAGGTCATGCAAGATCTCCTCCAGCTCTTGCTTCCTGGTGGACAGGCGGGATCTCATCTCCTCAGCCTCCGCACACAGCTCCGTCTCTGCCTGGAGCTGCTCTTGAAGAGCCAACTTCTCAGCATTCAGCTGGCAGCAGGGAGTCAAAGGAAAGTGAGACTTGGATAATCACATCTCGGTGCTGCATCATTCTGAATACTCGTGACTAATGAAGATCCACTAATTAACTAAGCCACTTGAACACATTTAAAATAAGGCTGACCATAGCTTAAGCTCCCACCAGTGTCTTCATGGAGACTCCTACCTGTTGCTGCTTAGACTCAAATTCTTGAAGCTGCTGCTGAGCCTGCTCTTGTCTCTCCCTCACTTTGTCCAGTTCCTCTTCTTTGGCCAGCATCTCCTCTTCCTGCCGAGTCACTTGCAGCAGAGGTTTCACCTGGAAGAAAAAAAAAAAAAAAAAAAAAAAACAATAGAGCAATGGAGATGTTTTTTAGGGTGGATGAAATGGCACTCTCGTGAGAAACTGAAGACGGTGAGCGGAAATCTTTATAAAAAGTGTAAAAATAATTAAATTAGCATTTTCTTAGTTACTATAAGTGCAACTACAGTACAATAAAAGGTGAGTCATCAATATATGCCTTATTTAGATGTCAATAGCTCACAAATTATGTCAAAGTATGTAGTCTAAAAATCTACAAATCTATACCCAAAGCTGAAGAATTCAGATTTGGATCCAAGTTGGAGCAGAGTTGCGGAAATGAGGGCTTGCAACTCGACTTGGGACCTGTCTGCCAACAATCTTCTTTTAGATAGATGACGCGGTCCAGTGACGAGCAGTGTCATTAATCTCTTACCTTGGTGAAAAGCCTCCACCACTGCCAGTTCCTGAGTTTCAGGTAAGCAACACAGTTCCTCTGGATAACCTTCATGGCCGTCAGCTGCTGCTGCCTCTTGGTAAAGGCTCTGAAGTCAAAAACAATAACATATTTTCCATCTTGTCTAGAAATGTGTTCTGTTCCATTTATTCATTCAACTATGCAAATATGTTTCTTGATCAAATATGTTCAGTGTTAATCCTTCATACTTGCGAGCCACATATCCTCTGCAGAAGGCCTGGAAGCTGATGATCACATCAGTGATCTTTATGTCCCTCTCCTCCTCCAGGTGAGCCAGGACTCCGGCTCTGAAGAACACTTTACTTTGACCGACGCGGAACAGGTTTGGGTCCAGCTCCAGAGCTTTGATCTGACATGAAGAAGACATGAAGACACTCAGTGACGAGTCCAAAACCTTGAAATGGAGAACAATGAGCCATTTCTTTTCTGATTTATTGTTCTTACCATGAGCACACAGGCTTGCTTGCCATCCATAAAGCCCTTTGGGATGGCATTTGGAGTGAGGATTTCATACCTGAGAGACAGACGAGCAGAATTAAATTACTCAAGTAGTTTGAAGGAGTTGTTTTTAGAATAAATGGTGTCTATTGTTTTTTACTTTAGGCCTTTTGTAGTCATGTAGTTAAAGGCACATTCACTGTTGTGGATGTACGTCTGTGAATTCTCTCTTTTTTAGTCTTCATTTTTCATGTTTGTCCTACTTGAGAACTTGAAGTTTAGACCACGACTGGGTTTTTAATTGGGTGTGTAAAATATATAGTTAAATGTTTGTCAGGTATGGGTTGTGTTTGTCACCTTTGTCTGAACTCCTGGAAGACAATACGGTTGGGGAAGCCCTGTCTGCAGATGCGAATCCCCTCTAGGACTCCATTACACCTCAGCTGTTCCAGAACCAGGTGAGGCTCCAGTTTACCAGCCTGAAGAAGAAACAAAGCATCACTGCCTTTCTATTTTCAGACTATTATGTTTCGTCAAACTGAAAAAATATTTTATGATTACAAGTTTTTTTTTCCTCATCTAAATTGAGCGACTAATATACGTTGTACAAATCTGTGACATCGGGCTGCATTAACAAAACCATCTTGTCCAATACAGAATGTGTCAGGACTTTAATGAGAACTGGTGGATCCCCACATGTCAAGTGAAGCAGAAGACTTTTCCCCAGCATTAATCTCTAGTTCTTTTCTTCTTTGCTACAGTTGAATTAGCACCGGTATGCCAGCGCACATTGGTAGTTCATTATATTGAATGTTCCTTCACTTGTACCACGAGCGCTTGTTCTGTACCTTCTTCTCGTGGTTGGGGATGATGCAGCGGACGAAGTTCGGGTTGGTGTTCCTGAGTGTGGCCATGAGGTTACTCAGCTGCTCCTTGTACAGCTGGCCCACAGTGCGGAACATGCCCTTACGGGTTCTGGATGCTCCGTGAATCGAGTCAGACATTCCTGCCACCTTATCCAGGCCGACGATACGGTCCACTGCCAGGACACAAACAAGGTGGAAAACAAGGTTGTCAGTGTACTTTATGATGCTGAAACGAAAATCATTTCTCATAATGAACATATTTTGACAACACCAGAAGGCACAAAGACATATTTGAAAACCTACTTCTACTATTGGTGCATCTCAGCATTTATATATTACTGACAAATTAATTGAGGGTTATTTTAACGCGACAGATCCAAACTAGGTCTCGTCCAATGCACACTTGTGTAGAAAAATAAAAATTCACAAATGCACCAAGTTTGTTGGAAATGCCTAAGATGTTCCAGTCATGGACCTTCAACAGGCATCAAATGTTGCATCTCTAATAATTTCAGCATCAACAGTAGCGCACAGCAGTAAGCGCTGCGTGATTTTGGATGAATCGAGTTACTTACTGTCCTTCCACAGCTCAGCAGTAAATTTCTCTGTAGACTGGTTGAACAAAGTGGCCACACACTCATTCAGAGGGTCCATGTTCTTCATCAGCCACGCGTCTGCTTTGTAGTCAACCTGCACCAGAGGAGACATGTTTAAAATAAAAGACGGCAAAGTTGAGGTTACCAGATCCTCGTTACTTTGAGTTACTGAAGCACAGCGTTTTTAAATGGCATTGACTTAATTTACAAATCAAATGTCTATGGTGTGTCACCAGTGGCTTTAATTTGTGTACTCAGAATTGAGCCAGAGAAATATGTTGCAGCCATCTAGTGGTTGAAAGCAACTACGAGAACAAGTACTATTTTCAGCTGCTGCTACTTTATACTAAGAGGGAAATAATGTACTTTTTACTCCAATACATATTTATACGACAGATGTAAATACTAGTTCAACTGCAGATTGAGATTGTTCAAATAAAAGTATATGATCACTTAATAAAATATGGTTCTTTCTAGATCAAACAACCCAATAGGTTATAAAGTAGCTAAAATATTATCTTCCTCCACCAACTACAAAAATCAAAATACTACAGTCATGTTAGTCCACCAATAATAAATCACTTTAACAAACCCAACAATATAAACTATCATTGACCTTTCCAGCATAGTGTATAATACAGAAATCGGCGTCGTCCTTGAGTTTCTTGGGTTTCTGGAACTTTGGGTTTGTCCCCTGCTCCTGAACCACTTTCTCCACAAAGCTCTTGTCTGTGGCTTTAGGGAACCAGCACTCTTCATCCAGCAGAGCCAGGATGCCTGGAGGGCTGGCCTGTGATAAACAGAGGAAGAAACAAACGCACGTCAAGTCAGTCTGCAGTTCAAATAATCACATGCCTCAGTTTGTGTTTAGTCAGTGACTTCTGCAGAAAAAGGCTCGTAACCTTCATCTCAAGTGTTACTTCCGGGGGAGAGAAGTACTGTCCGTGTTATCTGTACAAGTCTTGAGGAGGAATAATAACTGGGAGACTTCTCACATGTTTTTCAATGAGGTCGATGCAGGGCTGCAGGTCGAGGCCGAAGTCGATGAAGCTCCACTCGATGCCCTCCCTCTGGTACTCTTCCTGCTCCAGGATGAACATGGTGTGGTTGAAGAGCTGCTGCAGCTTCTCATTGGTGTAGTTGATACACATCTGCTCAAATGAGTTCAACTGCAAGAGAGAATAAGAGAAAATATTACTCGAACGTCAGATAATTAAAAATCTGCAACTTTCGTCAGAAGCCCTCTACGCCTGGAGAGTGACGGGGCTGCAGACTTCATCATATGGTGTTACAGGGACACTGTTAAAGACCAACACAGGACAACCCCACAGGTCTGCCTGTTGCCCATTCATTTCTATGAGGAATTTGGTATCGACTTCTGCTTGTGAATTAAACCCACATCTTTTAATCAAATTAAACTTTGACAACACTCTATAGCATGCAGCATTAAACCGGCTCCTGTATTGCTGACGCAAACAGAGTGGCTGAGCCCCATCAGAGTGCTCTCACAGAACTAGAGTTACGATGCATAACTATCAATCCGTCAAGCCCTGAACAGCTCACCTCAAAGATCTCAAATCCAGCAATATCAAGGATGCCAATGAAGGAGGCTCCCTGTCTCTTGGTCTTGTCCAGGGCCTTATTGATCCTCAAGACCAGCCAGCGGAACATCCTCTCATAAGAGGCTTTGGCCAGAGCCTCGATAGCAAACTCAGCCTGCTCCTGGGTCTGTGCCTTCTGGACATAGTCCCTGCCAACCTGCAAAAACAAATACTCTGTCATCCTGCAGTACTAAAGTCATAATCATAAAAATAAGCAGACAATTGACAAAATCGCTTTCATTTAATTTGGATGAAGAAACTAATTTTACACCATTTTCAAACAAAAGAAAAAATGTCCCGACATTGCATCCACAAACTGACAGACAAAAAAAAGGTGGAAATTTGCATCAAGCAAAGACACAATCATGTTTCCATTGCCATGCAGACCTTGATTCTGGGAGACAGGATGGCTCGTGTGAAGTCGGTCACATTGATACTCAGCAGGTGACACACTTTCTGGGCAGCTGGGGGTGAAACATGGGGGTCACATTGGAGGACGTGAAGGTGGATATTTGATGAATTGGGAAGGTTTGAGAAAATGCGACAGACAGCATGCGCCGAGGAAATGATGATGGTGGTGCGTCTGTGTAAATGAGCGTACCAGTGTCGTCGGGCATAGAGGCCTGGTCAGAGTGACGCTCTTTCTTGAAGCTCATGTTCCCCAACTGCAGCACGGCCGACACCACCTTCAGCAGACCTGACAGACAGACAGACGAGGTCATTGTGTGCTGCAGAGGAAAGAATCGCTTTCACACGTTTGATGATCTCACCCTACCAAAAACTCATTCTGTACATTAAGATATTTTAAAACAAACTTTAAAAGTTGACAGATAAAGCAAAACCTTTCGTTCTGTTTTGCATACAGGAATGTCACTGAAGTTGTTAGAAATAAACACAATCTTACTAGTATTTAAAACATCCACTTATATAAATAAGCTGCAGCAATTAGTTGATTAATCAATGGAAAATTAACCAGCGGTTTTTTGACGAGTAAAAATGCTGACATTTGCTGGTACCACATTCTCAAATGAGAGGAGTGTGCGTTTCCTCAAGCTCCAACAAATGTGTCAAATGCATTTTCTTCCTCAAAAAAATAAAATCAGCTTAGCATAGGTTTTTCTTTTTATAAGTATTTCAAATTCTGCATTGTTTGCGTCCATGTTTACTAGCTTGCAGTCTTCTTCCCAGTCTTTGCTGGCACATTGCTGGAGCATTACAGCCATCTGTAGGTCAGTGGAAAGGTATGAAACCATTGACGGGAATGTGCATCGCGTCACCTTTGCGAGCGTGCGTGTGCGCATATGCGTCCTTTTGCATGAGCTAAACAAACCGGGCACCCACCAATACTCCACAGGGAACCTTGGATTGATAATGAAATAAATCCTTAGTCACAGCCCTATAAACAAGTTTGAAAAAAAAAAAAATATATATATATATGATTAGGTACCAATTCTTTCCTCTTCTGGGACGCTCATGATCTGAAAGGCGTCCATGGTCTCAGTGAACATGTCCGTGTCCTGCTGGCCAGGTATCGTCACGTTTCCATTGGACAGGAAACGGTACTTGCTGTAATCCTCCAGACACAACTCAGCTAGACAGTGAAAAAGGGGAGAGAACCATTTATGAACAATTGACCATTTTAAGCTGAGAGATATCTGGCCGTAAGTGTTTATATGTCTGGAATCCATACAACTTCAGCCCCATTGTATTACAGACACTAATAACTGAACTGAGAAGCTCAGTTTTGAATATTGGTCGACTAAATCAGCTACTTCCCATGCATCTCTATAAGTTGCTTAATAAATGTACCGCTCCTGAACAGGTTCATTAAACGTATCCCAGTTGGACAGATTCCCGTTGTAATAACATGTCTCACAGCGCAGCTTGTCCCCCGCTCCACTGAGCATGTAGTAAAAGATGTGGAAGCTCCTCTCGTCTTTAGCTTGTCGGACGGCCCGAGACTTCTCCAGCAGATCTAGTAACATTTCAGTCAAGGACAATCATGCAAACGCAGCAAGACAACAGCATCTTTAAATGTATAGAAGCAAAACTGGATCAACCCAAATGTTTAGTAATAATGAGATTCATTTCTAAACTTGTTTGGAAATATGCACTAAAGGACAATTAAAAAAAACTGAGACTTACAGGACCTAAGGTTGCTCTTGCAGCTGCACTTTTACCCCACCTGGTGGCCCTGTCTTGTAGAGGATTCACAAGTCTATCTTACTGGAATTTACTGACATTATCCGTCTAAAATGATGTCAAGGCTCTGTGCCCCTGGTTTCTATCACATATGGGTTGAGGGAATCTCTTATTTGCACTTGGGCCACCTAACAGGTTAATCCTGCAAGTAGCATATTTTTAAAAAGGATGCAAGTTTCAATGTTGGCTCCAACAATGTATCCGTTGACATCAAAGTTGATCCTGATGAATTTTCCCTACAAAAGAAAACAAGTTTAAATAACTTTGATATGCAGTACTAAAATGAAAAACATTTTTTAAAAAAAAAAGGACCTATTTTCACAGTCAGCTTCTCTACATGAACACAAAATAGTCTGCCAAAGTTTCAAAGATTTGTGCACATTTTGTCTGTGCCCTTCTCACTGGTTGAAGTGGGCGGGGTGTTCAACTCAAACCTAATAATATCTAATGCTGTTTATTTGGAGCGGTGCTTATTTGACATGAACGTTATGTTATTCAGAAAGCAATTAAGTTCTCAGGGGCTTCGATTCGTTTTCTTACAAATCTTGAAGAGTTGTCATTCTTGACGGTCTTTGCGTTGCCGAAGGCCTCCAGGATGGGGTTTGCTTGCAGCAGTTGTTTCTCTAGTTCCCCCTGACGGAGAGGACACAGTGTCAGAAATTATAAGCAATAACTTATTTATCATGACTCTAAGCTGCAAATTAGTCAGACAAGCACAGCTTAAACAAAAAACAAAAAAAAAAAAAAAAACCCACACACGGCATTTACTTGGAGCCTGCAATGGCTTCTAAAAACAAACATTTCAGGCTGCGTTTTAAAAGCAACTACCTCAGAGGATGTTGTCATTGCCCAATCAACCACCCACAAGCACATACTGAATCCTGCACATTCCAACATGCATACCAGCAAGCCCACTCAAGCAAAGATAAATAAAAAAAATTTAAAATAAACTCTTGTAAAACCATCCCTGTCCATGCAGGCACAAACAAGCCGGTTAGCCAAGATCACCCCAAACAACCTTCACAGATACAAACTACTGCATAATGATGAAATCGGGACTGACCATATTGAGAATAAAAAAAGCTGTCAGCCAATACGGCTTTAAAACTAGAGGCACACAGACGAGGTGCATTTCAGAATATGGGACAAACCTCAGATAAGTTTACTGCTCAACTACTCTGCTGTGTTGACGTCGAGCAGACAGGTCTCTTCATCCTCTAAACCCACACCAGACTATTTATAGTGGATGGAAAACTTGGGTTTGCATTTTACAACAAACTTATGAGATATGATGATAACATTGATACCACTTTCATATCCATATGCTAAATATGAAGCTAAAGCCAACAGCTAGTTAGCTTAGCATAAAGACTGAAACCAGGGGAGAATTGCTGGCCTGCTTCTGTCCAATGATAATGGCACAAAACACAAAGTGTTAAATGTCAAATTGGGTTTTAAGGGGCTAGCTGTTTCCTACATTTCCAGGCAGTATGCTAAGCAGCTGCAAAAATGTCCCATGTACCTGCCTAGGGACGGGATTATGGGGGGGGGGGGGGGAAGAACAACAATTTGCATAAACCTGGTACATTACATAATAGGTAAAGGTTCTTTGTGTAATGTCCATGTCTAAAAAGGAATAGTTTCTTTATTTAGAGTGGGCTATGTTCAAGTAATATTTTAATGCATTTCCTCCAAAACCCAGACAAAACAACGTTTCCCGTTAGTAGAGAAGTGCATAAGGAGTCAGACACCATGCATATGGAGTCAGAGAGATGAACTCACATGTGATAAAACTGCATTGCCCTAGAGAAGAGGTGAAAAAAGGACAGAGTTCAACATATTTCATACCAACTTCAGCGCACACACATTACATATCTGCAGAGGAAACCTGGTGTCACCTGCTGCACCACGAAGTAGTGATACATCTAACATTTCTTGTGAAACAACCTCCATATAAAGAGTACAAGCAGACACATTCATTCTGTTCCACTTTTACTCTGAGGTGGTGAGGCAGGCATGTCGAGGCCTGAAAGAGGAATGCACAGTCGTCGCTATCAGGTAGACTGCTTCACAGAGATGGACCCACATGGATATCAGGGGAAGAACAGGGAGGAGAGGAAAGATAAAGGGGGTTTCCATCCAGATCCTTCAGACGAACCATCAGGACAGAGTCAGGAAGAGGGAACGAAAAAGAAACGGTTACGTTTTTACTGACCTGCTCTTTCTTGGACTTGAAAGATGAGGCAACATGGGCGAGATACTGAATGACTTTCTTGGTATTTTCTGTTTTCCCTGCTCCCGATTCCCCACTGTAGAGACAGAAAGATGTAGACACAGAATATGCATCAGAGAAGTTAGCACACTGAACATTATGAGCAGGCATTAAAAGAGACGCATTACACAAGAACAAAGACATGGTTTGCAATAAAAACGACTTTTTTCCTCATAGCCGATATAAATACAAAACAAGAAAACTGCTTCCAAGGTCAAGAACGAACTTCGAACATATTTCTTTTACCAAACACGGGTGAGAAAATCAGCAAGTGCTCATAAAACACTGATAACTTTAACATCTACAATTCAATGACAACTTGGCAAATGTAATCTGCTGATAATCATGTGATAAAAAGCCACTAAATTAAGCTAAAGGTGAGATTGTTTTGTTCAGGTCTTGAAGGAAAACTAAATTCAAGCTTGATCCTACAACCAACAGGCATCTGTAGGAATCGGTGCAAAAAAGGAATCAAGGAAAAAAAAAAAAAAATGCTGTTCACTTTTCTAAACAAAGCTGTTGTGAAGATGCCAAGAGGACAGAGTGACTTACGTGCAGAGGATGGACTGGTCCTCACGATCTGAGAGGAAGAGAGAGGAAAAGTCATGACATTACAGACAAAACCATGGCAGCTGAAGTGACGCCCAGTAATAATACGACATGCGATTGTTTAACTCTTCAGTTTCTGTGGCATGCGAGCCATGTTGAGTTGATTAATACACTGATGAATAGATTCTCTGGATCCAGCTACTCTAATGTGAGGATTTGTTTTTCGTTGTTTACATCATTGTGAATTAAAAATCTGAGTTTTCACCCTACGGTCAAAGAGGCACCCTGGGGCTTATTTGTACTGTAGCTGACACACTGTTTTCTCTTAAACTCTGTTACCCTGCATCATGCTCCTGTAGGCCGTGTCTGTGATGGCGTAGATGTGAGGGGGCATCTCGTGTCTCTTCTTGCCCTTGTACATGTTCACTATGTCCTCGGAGTAGATGGGCAGGTACTTATATGGGTTGACCACCACACAGAAGAGACCAGAGTACGTCTGGGTAACACAGAAGTTAGTTAGTGTGAGAGAGGAGTGTGAATGCAACCACTTAAATAAACATCTGCCACTACGAGGAGACCCGTTGCATGAGGATATATACAAACATGCGTGTCCACCCAAACTCACATAGATGAGCCCAGAGTAGTATCTCTCCTTGAGGTTGTGCAGCACCGAGGCCTCGTTCAGGCAGGTGAGCTCCGCCATGTCCTCCGCCTTGCTGAACTTGGGTGGGTTCATCTTCTGGATGTCATCCTTGTTTACCTTCACCTGAGATTTACAGAGACAAGACAGCTGTCAGAAGGACGACCTAAACCAGACCACGACTGCGGAAACACGTTTGTTAAAAGTACATTTTGACATCGATGGTGAAATGAAAATGCTGGCTCTTTGCCGGTCGTCAACAAATTAAAAGAAACAAACAAATTTCGAAAATAGAAATTATCCACTTTCACCTTCTTGCCAGAGTCGGTCAGCTCCACCATGCACTCCTCTCCCTGCTCCTCCTTGACAGAGCCGGGCTCGAAGCCCAGCTTCTCAGAGGGGACCCACACCAGCTTCTTGGTGGCCCAGTCGGCCTGGGCCAGAGGGGCACTCCCCCCACTGCGGTCCCCATAGAGGAACTTGTCTGCGTCCGTCATGGTAGCTTTAGGACAGAGCAAGAAAACATTTCAAACCAACATGAAGCCATTTGTGTAGAGTCTGACCTTGGGAAGTCAAATAAAAGATATTTCACTGTGATCATTATTGCTTTAGTGTAGATGGCTTCCCCATGTGAACTAAATATTTTTGATATGACGGAGTGGAAGTGGGCCATCAGTTTATGCCACGGCCATTTCAGATTCTCTACCATTTTGCATTCTTTGTTCAACAATTTTTTTCACAACATCACCAACACATTTAATTAATGAATCCATAAAAACATGGAAATGACAGCGCTCCCATCCCAATCAACCAGCATTGTCATGTAGGATGCGAGTTTCCAAATTTTGCACCTAAAACAAAGATGAACTGGGAATTCATTTTGTAGTAATTTGTTGCCAATATTCTTATAGGTGTGGCCAACAGGCCTCAACATAGACAACCTAAAGTGTTGAATTTTGCGTTCCTACAAAGTTTCATGGTACTAAACTAACAAAATGGTGCAAAAGAGTCATGATCAATTCATATGGTCATAACTCAGTCATCGTTTCATGAAGAATCAGGATTCAGGTGTTCTTTTAAACCAGTGACACCAGCAGGCAATCATTACTGTCGATTACTTATGTATTTTGTTGCAGACAAACACTCCATCATGGAATGGAGGCCCGCCCTCTCTCCACTCATATTCTGTCATTTCTATACTTTTGAAATCGGATAAAAACCAAAACAAAAAAGGTATATCTATTTTTATATACAATTGGAATATCTAAACTTCTCTATAGTGTTGACGTTGTATTGTACTCAATATTGAGAACATTTTGCCTGGCCTCAAATGACATCCGGGTAGACAAAACAACTTTTCAATGTCTCATGCAACAATGTACAAAGCAAGAAGTAAAGCACACCGTCTTTAAACCACAAAGGCTGCTTGTCATGCAACTGAAACCGCCACTCATCGTGTGTCATTCAACGTCCGAGTTGAGTCTAGCACTAGAATGACTTCAGGCTGTCACTATAACGTATCAAACACATTTTAACTGGTATGTGTGAGAGCAGACGTGAACTCTTCAAGGCCATGAAATGCTCTGTCAGAAGGTAACAAGAGGAATAACACAGGTTTGGGCACATTACTACAACCACCGCAGCTGTTTCACTGTTTTATTACGACAATGCAACATCTATACCTATGACTTATAACCCTACCTGTGCATGAATACAGACAAATGTAGGGAGGATGGTAAACAGTCACTGTAGCAATCCAAATGTTTAGTTCAAACAAACTTGTTTAGTTTCCTTGCGAGTTTATTCATGACTCGAGTCTCAACACAGTCCACATAATTAGTAACTCATTACTGATCTCTACAGTGAGACACCCGCTGTCCACATTTCTACCTGTCCGTCCTCCATTACCTGTCTGACCCACATTCCTTCCTCACCAGCTCACTAAAACACAGAATTCCACACATTCCCGACTCCTTCTCCCACTCCTCATTATCCACAACCCTCTCTCTAGAGCCACAGGTAATAAATGTGCAGATATTACATATTCGGCATCAGGAGAGTGAGGCTGGCTCTGAGCATTTAAAGCCTCTAGCAGTGAGAGTTATGTAAAAGTGCTGGTGGAGGTCGGCGGAGGGATGCACTGCAGTCAAGAGCGACAAGGGAGGAATGTCATGAGCAAGTCTGGACAAAAACGGAAATGTTATTCTTCACCAACCACACCCTGAATAAGAAAAAAGGAATAAAAAAAAAAAAAAAGGAAGATACCATCAAAAAGATAGTCCATTACCTCCATTCTGCCTTCACCAACTAGTTGAACAGATTTCGTATTTATGAGATCGTCCCCTTGCATCATCTCATTTTCAAGAGGGTCCGACCAAATCTTTTAACCTGTACACCCTCTATCCTTAGACCCCTTCACAACAACTATTCCCAAAGGAAGTGACTGCAAGTTAAAACCAAGTAAAGACTTCTCTTCTCAATCAAAAGGTGATATTTATACAAATAGAAATGTTATATATGAATGTTTGTACAGCAGGTAGAGGATGGATGATGACAGAAACAGCTGAGCATGTGAGTTTATAGAGCGAGGGATAAAGGGATCAGTGTGCAGGGTGTCATTCGTGTCCCTCTTAAGTTCATTAAGTGCTCAGACTCTTGAACATCAGTGGGGGAGGACGACGAGGAACGCAGTCGCATTTCTTCTGGTTCTTTCACGCAGCACCAAAACTGCAGCAGAGCTCAGACAAAACTAAGAGCATTCACGTATTTACAGCAACTATACCGTGTCCTGAATGCACCATCAATACTGAAAAACCATTAACGCAAATAACCCACACAGAGGACTTGTGACATTCACATGCATGTGGCTTCACTGCTAAAGCTATCCATGGGCTAACTTCCTCAGGAAGTTACACAAACTCTGCCTCTGCACAGTCTGACACTATGTGGTTCAATATGACGAGACAAACCGCTTCAATCTTCACGGCCACCCTTCTGTATCGATTGTCGTCATTCAGAGTATCCACTACAACCCAAAAAGCTCAGGATGAGGAAGTTAGTCTTAGTGTCTGACTGGGAGGGTTTCATGTAAAGACAATCGAAACTACGTCTGGAGACAGAATCACCTAGTTAACCTCAGCGCTCCAATTGTCTGCGTGAGCCTGTTTAATCCGCCTCTCCTGTGTTCTTATCGTGCACGTCGGCAACAGCGTCTCCAGACTCCTGCTCTCTCCTGTTCTTGGCTGCCAGTCAAACCACACTTTATCCGGGCTTCCGTGGCGCTTGCCCAACGGAGAGAGCACAAGCCCAGGCCATCTGCAGCCGGTACCAAGGCCTGTGGGGTGACAATGTTGTGGCACTGACACATTAGGGATTAGTCAAAGTGAACGACGAGATGATTTTGAGGTGGATTGGTAGATAGAAGCTCTGTGTGCACGCTGAAGAGAAAAAAAAAAAAAAAAAAAAAAAAAAAAAAAAAAAAAAAAAAAAAAAAAGGTGATGAGGAATGAGGAATTGTGGTAGAGCTGTCTCATTTCCGGGCTGAACCAAAAGAGGAAGACTACATTTTGCAAACTGTTTTTTTACAGCAAGTCATGAGTAGAAACATGCCCTTAGCTAGAGCCATCTTGTCAGACATAACTCCTCCTCCTCAACACAAAGCCAAGTCCTCTTTTGTGACTGCATGTCAATTTTGTATCCCGAGGCGGAGACACAGCGGCGGCAGCAGCAGCAGGGTGTGTGCAGTTAGTTTTGTGAAAGATCATCTCAGGGCTCACCTTACAAACAAAAGTGCACTGCAGGACCCAAACTAGGTCAATATGACAGATGAAAGTCAACACAGAATACATGAGATCAAAACAGGAATTTTCATACAACATCCTGGTTTTCCCTGTCAAGTTGGATTGCGTCACTGTTCGTATGATTATCATTATTTCCTGGTAAAATAATTAAATTAAACATGCTACCAGTCCTACAATTTAAGATTAAAAAGGTGTGTTTATACAGGTAAAATAAACCCAACAGCATTCATTTCACCTTTACTTTACAATTAAACCGGGTTTAGCCACCTGTTTGATTGGAAAGTGATATGCATGTACCTTGTATATTCCTTATGAAAACATTACTATTTGATGTTACTGATTATACTGGTGGCTGTTTGTCTTGTGAGCGTCATAAAGAGAAGTGACTGTCAGCTGTGGGTTCATGTCACAGCAGCCTTGACTCAGCAAAAGCACCATAGAAATGTTTAAATAGCCCATCGCATAACATATAACACAAATAAATCAATATTCGGAGACAACCAGGTGATAACTGAGCATGCGCGGGTTTAAATGGCTCATCTGTGTCGCCTGATGAAAACACCTGGGCAGATTTTAAACAAAAAACATTTCTACTCGTTTTCCTTGAACTAAAAACTATCTAAACTAAATGTATGCTGCTCAAAATGTTAGTGCACACAAGAACGCCCATATGCTGAAGAAGACACAGTTAATACCACTCAGCTGTCTGTAATATTAACAATAATGAGAACACACCTGGTTTTCAATGGCAGGCACTGTGCGTGAGCTCGGGTCGTCTGTTCCTGTCCGTGTTTGCAGCAGCAAAGTCCCTTTGAAAGACACTTTGTCCACTAAACAAGAAGCCTCGTCTCTGTCATCCGCCGCGTCTCGACGCTCTCATGTGGTCCAGCTGCTCTTTAATCCGCCCAGGTTTATTTGCAGGTAAATTAAAACGCCCCGCCCCCCGCGGTCTGTGGTGCGTTCAATAGCTCCACATGAAAACCTGGAGGTATGAGTTGTCGCTGCAAAGTGCCTCCGAATCAAAAAGTTGATGCATTGTTTTCGCGGTGCAGATGCTACTTTACGTCAGCTCAAGATGGGGCAAGTTGTGCATTTGTGATTCATTCATTTGGATACATTTATGGAATAGAAAAACTATTCTCATCACTTCGTTAGATGTTTTCCTGGATGTACTGAAGGCAGCACGGAGTTAACTATCGTGCAATATGCTCACTTTCACCTCCCCTTCACTGATGGAGATGTGTGATCAATAATAATAATTCATAGGAAAATAAATACATTCAGTATTACAATTGAAAAAAGTGGTCAACTAATGCTTTAAGAAGCTACAATTTTGGTAATTGGTTAATCATTTCAGTCATTTATCAATCAACAATGACATTCTTTGTTTACATCTTGGTTTTGGAGGTTTGGTTGAATCAAACAAGCAATCTGAAGACTCAACTCTCGGAACGTGCAAAAGACATTTTTTAGTAAATGACTAATTGATTAATAACAAATAAAAACTGATTCAACTAGTAATTAGGTGCAGCACTATTCTGAATAAATATGTATGCATATAGCTTTGCAAATATTTCTCATGATAATATATTTGCTCTCAGATATATCTGGACACCTAGTGTGAAGTTTAGACATCCCTATTTTCAAATGAAAATTTGCACCTTCAACAAAAATAGGAACAAGAAACTCAACGCTGTAAACTATAAAGGGGTTAAGTGTTTATATGTTGAGATATGTTTACTTTATTGGAAGAGAGTCAGTGATTATCTGTTGTACGAGAGTATTGTATGTGTGTGTGTGTGTGTGTGTGTGTGTGTGTGTGTGTGTGTGTGTGTATGTGTGTGTGTTTAGGAATGCAGAGCCCTGTCTGTACCTGCAACAGGGGCAGGGGTGTGGCACTGCTGGAAATATGACACAAAACACAAAACTGGCTGCAGAGAGGAAACAAATGTAAAGAGGGCCAACTGGCATGGAAGAGTATGTCCATATTTATGTCTTAATGGTTCTAGAGACAAGGCAGTGGGTCTAACGTCAGTGAAGTATGTAAAAACAGTGCAGTTCACAGTAGTGAAACACACGACTTCTTTGCAATTCTGGTATTGTGTTCTCTCTGTAAAAATACAATTAAAAGAGTAACTTACAATCATTTCAGTCACATAAGCAAAAATATAAATGAGCACATAATCTCACCAAAACATGCCCCAAAACCAGGGGGAATATCTACCTGCACTTTGCCTCCCATCCACCAATGAGCTGTTGGTTTAATTTCCTACCATATATGGTCAGAGCGAGGAGACAGAGAAAGAGGTGGAGGGGGGCGTGGTCTATTGTTGGTTTTTTTCAGTGCGGGTGTAAAGTTTCTTCTTAAACCCTGTCATTACCCCGAGCCCCGGTTCTCCTGATCTGTCACACATCAAAGATGCGCGGATAAAAATGTAGGGCAGCGTGTCGCAGCATGAACGAGACAGAGCAAACACACACACACAAACACACACACTGTTAGCATTGCAAGGTGTGTGCTTACACTATGTAGGCAATACAATTACACAGAAATACACATAAACTTTATATTATGTTGTATGGAGAGGATGAATGATTTTAATAACCAATAGCGCATTCAATGTGCATATTGGCATGCAAGTATTGTTTCTATTCATTGTTCAGCCTCCATCCTGCTTCAGATACAAAAGCCTCCGACCTCTCCTATATTGTATGTACAGTTAGTACAAGTGTTTCCAAATATATTAAATATTACAGACATATTTACATACTCAGCTACTTTAAAAAGCAACTCAACATTTACACTCCTCAGAGCTGCCGGCTTCTCTTCTTTTGTGTTTGAATAAAAGGAGTTCACTGGCTTTTACCATAATTCACCTCAGTCAGCAGTTACCACAGAGGAAGAGTTTTGCTACCATTCTGCAAATTCAGTGCACATCTTTCTGCCTTTAAACAGTTAACGTCCTGCAATACGGTGTTTAAATGTGCACACTGTGAAAACAAAGTGTCCATCCGTAGCTCTACTCTTTCACTCGGTCGTCATCCTGTTGGTTCATTTCTGCAGCCACAGGGCAGTCTTCTCTTACACCACCTTCTCTTACACCACCTCACATATGAAGCAGCTTCCTGCTGCTCCCTTTATCACAAGGAACTGACTCACTCTCACACACACACACACACACCTCATAATGAGCTCAGTGTAAGATGACAATATTTTCTGTATCATACACACGTCAACAGTGTGGATACCATTAAAAAAGTGCTTCAAGTTATTTCAAACATGTATCATCTGCTGTTGAGGAAGCTTTCAACGAGGAGAAGCAGCAGAGTCGAGTCGAGTCATGTCAAGTCATGCTGGTAATTGTGGTAAATTTCACTGAGGGGGAGAGTGCAGAGGCCGTAACAGGAAGAGAGGTGGACTGTTGTTAAGAGTATAGGTCTGCATGAGTTTATCCTGACGTGTTTGAGCACATCGGCCTGCTTGTGTTCGGCGTGTAGAAGGCAGATTTGACCTACAATGACTTCACCTTATTTTAGGGGAATGGGACAACACCCGTCCACACCCAGTCCATCGATCACACCTGCTGCCCCACTAAAACACTTCAGGGATTAGAAGATGTTTCACTATTTTCCTCTGCCTGTGTTGGTGACAAGCTACACCGACCTGTGCCCACATTTGGAGCATTTATGAGCTGCAGGTTCACAGTTTTAGTAATGCCGGTAATATTTATTAACTATATAAAATAAATATTTATATTTGTTTATCGTATGGGGAAACAAAAACAGGAAATTAAACTGTGTTTCTATTGAAAGTCTGAGAATATTAAATATAGTCAATATTATATCTGTTTATTTGTAATGAGTGCTATACAGCCTGTAAAACACTTCATGTAATCTATAATATAGTCAGTATTCTTCTACATATTCATACACATGGGTTTACGGCTTCAAACTTAATGAAACCCTCCTGCTGGGAAAGAAAGACAAAATGACACCAGGACACATCAACTTTTTATGAGTTTTTATTTATTTATTTATTTGATTTTTAAGTGTTTTATTATTTTTTTTTCTCCAAAAAAATCCTGAGGTATTCACAATATAATGGCATTTATTCTTTTTGAAATGAGGCTGGGGGAAGGGGGATAAAATACAGTCAAAACGCAAAACAAAAAGAGGAAAAAGCAAAACAAAAAGAAAAGGCAGTTAAGCTGTGTCGATTGATACAACTGTCGAGACGATAAATCCATGATGTCGTACATACAAGAAGCTTTTGAACTGCAACAACGGAGACTATAGTCAATCCTTCCCCCACCCTGCAAACTAGCAGTCATGCAATCTAGATTGCATTTAAAAAAACAAAAAAACAAGCAACAAACCTCAATGATGTTTCAAAGCAGGCGTGTCCCACCTCGCTAACAGAGAGTGCAGGTTAATAACAAGCCAATCAGTCCACTATCATAGTAGTTATCATCAGCTGGAATACCTTCAACTTAAAACAACAAACAAA